ACGCCCACAGAATTGTTTACTTAACTAGGGGACAGACACAGAATTGTTACTCAGAGGACCAGAAACAGAATTGTTATACTGAGGGCCACAGAACCGTTACTTAGGGCCACAGAATTGTTTACTCTGAGGGACACAGAAGAGAGACGGTTACTGAGCGATCACAGACCACTGTTACTAGGGCCACAGAAATCGTTACTCATTTACATCAGGTAGACACAGAATGCCAGTTACTGAGGGGGGCACAGAAACTGTTACTGCAGAGGACACCAGAATATGTACCCCACAGAACCGTCACGTTTACTTAGGGCCACAGAATTGTTACTCTGAGGACCAGACACAGAATTTTACTGAGTGACCACAGAACTGTTACTTCAGGGCCACAGAATTGTTACTCGGGGACCAGACACAGAATTGTACTCAGGGACACAGAATTGTTACTGAGGCCACAGAACCGTTACTTAGGGCCACATGATTTGTTACTCAGGGACACAGAATTGTTACTGACACAGAATGAGACAAGGCCACAGTAACTGTTACTTAGGCCACAGAATTGTTATCTTCCGACAGACAACAGTGAATGGTTACACATAGGATACATTATTAGATTGGGTGTACACATAAGCGAGGCCACAGAACGCTGTGTACTTAGGTCCACAGAATGGGTTGACTCGTGCACACACTAATTGTTGGTACTCAGTGCCACAAGTGAACACAGATTACTTAGGTTGCCCACTATCGAATACACATGGAACAACAGATCATTGTATTACTTTGAGAGGGCCACAGTAAAGTCCGTTACTCAATCGGGGAGGTGGCCACATAGAACGTTTAATCAGGGTACCGACCACAGAATTGTTCTCTGAGTTGGCCACAGACCCGTACAATACACGTTCTTAGGGATCCTAAAACGGTTGATTCACAGTTACTGGGGGTAAGACGCATCAGAACCGTTACGACACAGAAACATGTTTACTCGTCAGAGGACACAGAAATTTGTTTTACTGAGGGCCACAGAAACCGTTACTATAGATGGACACAGAATTGTTACTCAGTACAGACAGCAGAATTGTTACTTTGTTCAGAACAGACAACATCAGAATATGTTACGTAACAGCGCTTACACACAGAATCGTTGAATTAAAGAGTATGGCTCAGACAACACTCATGAGGAGTGGCAGAGAGGCAGGCGCAAAAGTTTTTATTAGGCAGCGAGCATTGACGGTGGACAGCAGAGGAAGGGGTCGAGGCAGTCACTATTCCAGTTCAGTACCTGAGTCCAAGTGCTCCCGTGTCCATCCAGCAATCGGATCGTAGTCCCCCACCGACAACCCCTGCCGTCGTCGATTGGTATGGCTCGGTCGTCATTCTTCCTCTACCCAGGTCACCTCTGACACCTACAGCCAACGGTCGGTGGGTACGTCATACACACCAACCGTTAGTTGTGCATGGCCCGGGACCAAGCCCACTGAAATCACGTGGGTCCTCTACCTGCCCACTGTCCTTATTGGTGTTCCCTCTCACCAAGCGAACAGAAGTATCGCATCGCCTGTGTAGAGCAAATATGGCTCAGCCCCACTGTTCAGTGAGAAGAGCAACAGAGGCGTGTCAGGAACGGTAGGTGAGACATCCGCCTTTTTTCCTAGCAGCCAGGCGAAAGAAGTAGTGGGCGAGGAGAGTGGCTCGTAGCCCGGATCTAGATACACAGGTCTGATCTAGCCTGACACCATGAACGCAGGCCGAAGGGGAGCTAGTAGTGAGAGTCGTAGACACCACTACTTGATGATTGAGGAGGTTGATCGCATCGCACTACTGGCAGCCTATCGTCGTCATCAGGCAGGATCTTCTTTCTATACATTCCGAACGCATCATCAGAGAAGAGGGTGGCAGCTTGGCAGCGAGCCGAAAACCAGTCGCTGGGTTTATTGCCCAGAGAGGCAGCAGGGTCGCAGCAGTGTGTCATCAGTGGAGCCCAAACCGGGCCACGGAGTAGAGCACCAGCTCCACTGCACGCTACCGTTCACCACCACGGCCAGTTAGTGGTTCCGAGCAGTGTTGCAAAGCGAGGAAGCACAGTCAGCCAGTGAGGATAGTATCGGGGGCAAAGTTTCCGTACTCTAGACTCGGTGACGTGTGCAATTTTTTCGTCAAGCCCTGCCCGAGGCGAAGTAAACCCACTGTAGCCAGTAATGTCGACTCATATGATGGCCAGAAAGTGCTCAACGAGCGTGGCCAGGCAGAGCCCATGTTTGGGACTACAGACAGCCGTTGCGTGCATCATATGCAAGCGACGTGCACCATTTGGTGGCCTGGAAAACCGAAGTGATAAAGATACGGTGCGGTTCTGCCGCATATGCCCCAGCCCCCGCCTCCATCACCAAAACTTCCGCTGCCGCGTTACTTGCTCCGTCACCCGCACGTCAAATGTCGCTCCTCACATCCAGCCAAGTCACAAGGCGCTCCAACTAAAACCTCTAGCTGACGGGGACGTTGATTGTCGCTTCGTTGGCATCCCTTCCGCTCGTAACTCAGATGCAACCTTCTCCTGTCTACTCCTCTTCACGGATTGCCGTCAAGCAGTCTTTCTTGGAATCCGTTTCCAAGAGACAACAGTTTGACGAGCACGCAACCACACCGACGGTAGCAGGTTCAAGCTGAACGTCTCCTGTCCAAGTTGCTGGTGCTAGCAGTCCCCCTCCCTTTGCCAACGTGGTAGGACTCAAGCACCTTTCCGAGAAATGATGGCTTTGTGCCGCGACCGCGGTGGAGAGTGCCAAGCCGAGTCGGCATTTCTTCGCCAAAAAGGCATGTGCCCTCTTGCATTCACATGTAGAAGAAGGATGGTGGCTCCAGATCTTTGAGCATGTCGGAAGTTCTCTGCCACAAAGTGCACAACGGCAGCGCCGACGTGTGGAGCTGTAACTACGGTCAGGGGGACAGTACATGTCATTAGACGGCCCAAACTGGGTGAACGTGGTGCCGTCACAGCCGCACCAGCAACTTGGCATCAGGTCACTCGTCCGCTTTTTGCCTCCCACGTTTGCACGTCCTTGGTCCACAAAAGATGTCCGCCTCTACCACCCTCTTCTTCTTCCGCCGGTGTCTAGACAGGCACCCCACCGCCACCCAGACGGAGAATCCAAAGTGACCCAAGGGGGGGGGGGGGGGGGGGGGATTACCCGACCGGCAATATCACAACTGTTGGCAGGGCGCAACGGTGTCACGCTGTTCTGCACCTGTATGCCTTGGACGAACGTAGTCACACAGGGGAGGAACTCTGAGTGTAAATGAACAGAGAAATCGACAGATGGCTGTCCTCCGCGCAACAAACTGAAAATCGGAACCAATGTTGACCGACAACGGAAAGAACATGGTGTCTGCTCTGCGCATCAAGGAAGGTTGTGCCATGCGCCATGCATGGCTTCACGTGTTCAATCTGGTTGTCAAGCAGGTTCCTAAAATCCACCATCCCACTGCAAGACACATCCTTAAAATGTCACGTAAACTTTGCATGCATTTCAGCAATTCCTACAACACCGCAAAGCACCACCCTCATTTGAGCTGCAGCGCAGCAAGAACGTGAATTCCACAGCATCATCGCGCCTGATCTGCGACGTTGCAAACAAGGTGGAATTCTCAACCCTACACACAATGTTAGACCATCCGCCTTTACGAGCACAGCGAAAGGCCATCACCGATTTCCTGATGTTACAAGCGGATAAAGGTACTCCCCTGTGTAACTTCGATGTCAAGCCATTGCAGCTCATGCGTGGACACCTGCTCCGCTTTGCTCAGTGACCCTTTTAGGAGCCACGCTATTTCGTGAGTCGGCAGGACAAACTATGGATCCCAGAACGACGTCATTCCTCTGTTGCACGTCCTTGAACAAATGCTGTTAACAATGGCTGGTCAGGGTGCGGTAGACGTGGCGCACAGATCTCAACAGCCACATGACCCCTGTGGGGGGCAGGACAGGAAGAAGAGTGAGAGGTAGAGGTAGGACATTTGTGCCAGGGAATTTATTGAGTGAAATGGGTGGTTTTCCCACTCAGCGGACAGGAGTGGAGGAGCAGGAGCATCTGGTAGAGGAGGAGGAGAGGAAGACAGAGGACCCAGACGCACCGTGGCAGTATGCTGTGGAGATGGAGGCAGGGAGTCCCACTAGTTACGCATTCCTTGGCACAAATGGCCCATAGAGCATGCTCGGAAAAAGTTTGCTTGCGTAGCGACAGCCGAATAATAACCATCATCAGACATGAGGGATGACTTTTGGCTGTCACTCCCACCTTGTTGGACCCCTCGCTACACGTTCAAAAATGGTCCGCCTTTTTCACACCTGGCTGAAGAGGGAGGCCAAAATAACGTACTATAAAAAACCACCACTATGTAGTCAGTTGGTCTCTGCCTTTGTGCGCCAACAACGTCCATCCTCCAGACACTGTGGGCCCTGTGCGCAGATCTCACGCGTTCCGCTGCCATGGCAGCAGGGGAGGGGTGGGGTGGTAGGAGCAGGTGCAGTCGAGCTCCACCAGCAGCACGCTGCCTCAGTCTGCAGTCCGATGATGAGTAGCTTTCTTCACCAGCGCAGTGAGGAAACTACTAACCCAGCCCTCGCAGCAGCAGCAGCCAGCATCAGGTGGACCTGGAGCAGGGACCTCAAACAACAGGCTTGGGCCTACTTGGACAGCACCCTGCCAACCGAGGTAGACAATCCCCTTGACTACTGGGCAACGAAACTTGACCTTTGGCCCCAACTAGCTGAATTTGCCCTTGAAAGGCTGTCCCTTCCCTGCCCCGGCCAGTAGCGTGGCATCGGAGTCGCGTGTGTTTAGTGCGGCAGGAGGTAGTTTGTAACTCCGCGGAGGACACGACTGTCCACCCAAAGTGTGGAGAGACTCACGTTTTGTGAAAATGAATCAGTGCGTGGATATAGTCCCTGGATTTCAAACCCACCAGTTCCTGACACAACTGACTACAATCCGCCATGAATCATGCCTCAAACAATGTGCCACTTTCAGGTTTCCTCACACACTGCAGCGTACTGGTGTGTACATTCCATTTTTTTAGTACATAGGGTTGCTGGCAGATTACGGGACCTTCCTACTAGCTGCTGTCCAGCAGCCCCCAAATCTGCCATAGGGCCCCACTGTATCCCAAGCCTCCCATCATGCTGCTGCCCAAGCCAGGTCCCACAGTAAGTCTCATGCCAGATGTGCCACTGTTCAGGTCTCCTCACCACTGCTGGTGTGTTTAAACCATTTTGACATAGGGTGCTGGCATGACTCCGGCAGACATTGCTGAGCTCCACCTCCCATAGCTGCTGCCAGGGGGGCCCCTAATCTGCCATGAGCCCCTATATACCGCCTCCTCATGCTGCTAGCCAAGTCCACAAGTCTGTCATGGGTCCTGTTGTTAGCCTCCCATTGCTGCTGTACTCCAATCGCCACACTCTGCATCATGTGCCACTTTCAGGTCTCCTCACACTGCGCTGGTGTGTTGAATTTTTTGACATAGGGTGCTGGCAGATTACGGGCCTCCGCCATAGCTGCTGGCCAGGGCCCCTAATCTGCCATTGGGCCCCTTATAGTAACCGAACACCTCCGCATTGCAGCTGCTGCCAAGTCTCCAGAGTCTCTCATGGGTCCCCTGTACGTACGGCCTCCCATTGCTGCTGTTTCCATCGCCACAACTCTGCCATGTGCCACTATTTCAGGTCTCCCTCACAACACTGCTGTTCTGTTTCCAATTGTTTTGACATATGGAACAACAGTTTTGCTGGCAGATTACGGGCCTCCCATAGCTGCCTGCGCTACCCAGGCCCCATAATCTGCCATAGGCCCCTACCGCATATACCGCCTCCTCATGCTGCTGCCCAAGTCCAGAGTCGTAAGCTCTCATGGGTCCCTGTACGGCCTCCCATTGCTGCTGTCTCCCATCGCCACACTCTGCCATGTGCCACTTTCAGGTCTCCTCTGACATGCTGGACTGGCAGTTCCATTTTTTTGGGTCATAGGGTGCATGCTGCTGATTACGGGCCTCCCATAGCAGGCTGCCAGGCCCCCTAATCTGCCCATGGGGCCCCCCCGTTCCGACTCCTCATGCTGCTGCCAGGCCCGTAATCTGTCCATTGGGCCCCTGTTGCCTCCCTCATTGTTGGCATATTCCGCTCGTTCATGATGCATCCCTTCACCCTGCTACTCCTCTTCACGGATTCCGTCAGCAGTCTTTATTGGAATCCGGTTTCCAAGAGACAACAGTTTTCCTAAGTTATTGTCATAGCGAGCAACGCACCCGACGGTGCAGAAGCTGAACGTCCTCCACACCCAGTCCAAGTTGACTGCTGCCAGGCTCGTAATCTGTCATGCGCCCCCTTGTACCGAAGCACTCCTCCTCTGCTGCTGCCAGGTCCAGAGAGTGTGTACATGGGCCCCCGTAACGACCGACTCCTCATGCTGCTGCCAGGCCCGTAATTCTGTCATGGGCGCCTTACTGTACCCGCCTCCCCATGCTGCTGCCAGGTCCAGAGTGTGGGTCATGGGTCCCTGTACGGCCCTCCCATTTATATGCTGCTGCCAGGCCCGTAATCTGCCATGGGCCCCCCCCGTACCAAGACGTCCTCATGCTGCTGCCAGGCACCACCCGTAATCTGTCATGGGCCCCATGTAACACGCCCTCCTCATGCTGCTCTGCCAGGTCCAAGAGTGTGTCATGGGTCCCTGTACGGCCTCCCATTGCTGCTGTCTCTATCGCCAGAAACTCTTGCCATGTGCCACTTTGTCAGGTCTCCTCACACTGCTGGTGGTTTCCATTTTTTGTCAATAGGGACTGCTGTATGGCCTCCCATTGCTGCCTCAAAGCCTCCACCGCCACACTGTGGCTCCACACTCTGTTTTGGCCCCGTGACTGCCACCAATGAGTTAAGTGTGCGATGATTCTAAGATCGACTGCACTCATCGCATGTATGGACAATTTTGTTCATATTTCTCCTTCCCAACTTGCCAAGCCTTAAAGGTACTGACGGATCTATTATCATCTGCCCCTAGAATGACCCACTTGGGCACTTTTTGAATTAAACGGTCGAATGGGTTGTTAATTTTGTACGTTCGGCGCGATTACAATATTTATAAATCTCTCTCTTTGAACCATATGTACACACCAAAGTTACATTTGTTCACCAGCGGAAATATATTTTTTCACGAATTAATGACTCGATCAACACCATTTTTCCATTTTTTCTCCACTATAATTCCCCCGTCGCAGCGATACGAAATTTTTGAATACTTCGTAACGCAGTCCTGCGAGTTATGACTAATTAAGATTATTGACGTGGGTATCAATCAAAAATAAATATCAAATTACAGCAGACCTCATATACAGTTTGGGGGATTTGCTCAACAAGTTTGAATATACCCTGGCAGTAAATTGTGAAATTTTTGGCATTGGTATTGAAAATATCACTGATCATTTAGCCAAAAAATGCTCTTTAATTGAAGAATGATGATCATCTGAAGCCATTTATTATCAAATAGTTGTTTGGCTCCTTTTAAATCATAATGATAACTGAAATAAACCCAAATGGCCCGGATCAAAAGTTTCCATACCCTGGAATGTTTGACCTTGGTACAGACACACAAGGTGACACACACGGGTTAAAATGCCAATTAGAGGTTAATGTCCCACATCTGTGGCTTTTTAAATTGCAATAAGTGTCAGTGTATAAATAGTCAATGAGTTTGTTAGCTCTTACGTGGAAGCACTGCACTGACTAGGCTAGATACTGAGCGATCATGGGGAGCAGAAAAGAACTGTCAAAAGTCCGCGTAACAAGGTAATGGAACTTTATGAAGACAGAAAAGGACATAAAAAGATGTCCAAAGCCTTGAATATGCCAGTCATCACTTCCACTAAGAAGTAGAAAATTCAGAGACCTCTTGATACCAAGCCAAGTACAGTTAGACCAAGAAAGATTGCAGCCACAACTGACAGAAAATTGTTTGGGATACAAAGGGAAGCACTAAAATGTTTGGATAGTGAATGTTCTTTAAATCCCTTCTTAATAGTATAAAGATGTTCCCTTAAACGGTCCCTCAACCACCTAGTGGTTCTATACCTATATATTGGTTTTTACAAGGCCATTATACACAGGAATATTTTTGTGTTTTACATGTTTTCACCATATGATTTAGACATCAGCACTGCACTTTTTTGTAATGATAATAAAAAGCACTGACACTGTACTATTGGCACTGGGCAAGAAGGGGTTAACATGTGGAGTGATCAAAGGGTTAACTGTGTGCTGTTTTACAGTGTGCTGTGTGTGTGCTTTACACTGTAAGTATACTGCTTTGTATGTTTCTGCTATGCAGAGCCATACAAAGCAGTGTGCAGGAGCTCACAGGGGAAAGATCTGGGTTGTTTATACACAGGTCTCTCTCCCCATCGGCAATACTTAGAGATCTCGGGTGCCAGCGGGGAATCACCGAGTGGGGCCCAGTGATTGACAGCCGAGGCTGCGAAAGGTGGAGCGCGATGCTCCCTACTCAGAACTGCAAAATCACATATATATAGGTGATTTTGCGCACCTGTGCCACCCTGTTGCAGTATTTCTGCAAATATAAAGGTTACAAGGAAAATTAAAGATGGCTTCTCGCCTCCTGTTTGCAGCTTTGACCAATCTATGTTGGCTCACAATAATCTATATTTAAAGCGGTGTGTTGAGTAGTTTTTAAAGAATATGTTTTTGGAGAACTGAGAAATAATGAGTAAATTTATCAAGGATGTCATCATAAATTAAACATCTGCTGATATCCCTCTAAGTGTTCAGTAGAATAAACGTTTCCCATAGATCTTGTCCAACCAAAGATCTTAATATGTTTCTTACACAATAATATGTTTCTTTGTTCACAAGACGCTTGAGTGCATGCAAGAGTAAGAAGTATTTTATATTCTGTATATACAGCAGACTGCATGTTATGCTCATACAAAACTATAGCAACAAGTAAGACCATTCTTGAATGCTTTTTGTTTGACATCAGTAAGGTCCTCATCATTTAGAACTGGAGGAGGGAATGGTTTAATTAGAGCTGGATAATGTTCTTTAAAACTAAAGCTGGTCATATACGACTCGAATTTAAGCCAATTGCTGCTGAATCAGTTAAAATCCAAGCTGTTAGTGGGCCTGATAGGGTGAGGCAGCTGGGCAAATGTTCATTTAAAAATTGAAGACGCCAGTTTTGAAATTGTCAGACTACATCCAATCAGATGTAGTTCTGCAGATGCTTAAATACAAAAGCTGGCATTGCAAATTCCTCCGTGCAGATATTTAGTCTAAAGCTTGCTTTAGAAGTTCAACCTGCAAGTGTCATTAAACCCACAGTCAGCAGCTTATATGCCTACTAAATAATAAAGCAAAACAATATTATAAACTAACTACATAGAACACATAAATATTCTTTCTCCATATACATTTTTTCTTTTCCTACACCCTGGTCGAATGATGTTCTTTCACTTGTACTGAACCACACTGTGAGATTGGTGGGTGGGAAGTTTGCTTTATGTTCCTGTGATCGCACAGAATGGATTGGTGCTGTTGTGGTCACATGGGTAAAAAAAATATCTTTCAAATATATATAGCTGCCCCACAAATGGCTGGAAAAAAAATTCATATGGGGTGACTGGTGGAAAAATATAGAAGCGAATAGGTTCTCTAATTTTGCAGCATGCACACTGGGAGTGCCAATGCAGAAGCCAGGGGATCAGTTGCTATTGTGTTGCCGCTGACAATAAAGAGGTCTATGGAAACAGCTGGATCATGCTGGTATTTGCATTTACCTTTTTTTCCATACACACAGACTTACATCACAGAGAGTAACCAGTCCGTGGCCTTGATTTTAATATTTTATTATGGGGAATGAACTTGGATAGGGAAATAGGGATTATGGGATGCCCGATTTGGCTTGAATCAATGAAGGGGGGGCAACTTCCTTCCTATGTACAAAGACAGATCCTGGACTGCTCTTTTCCATCAGTCTTTGTGGATCAGTAGTAACAGCCCTTTACAGGCGAGGAACTAGCAGCTGCATCCAGAAATAAACTTAGCTTGTAACTACATGCAGAGATATCTTCTCTCCCCCTGCAGAGCAGTGTCCAGCTCCACAGCCTGCAGACACTGCCAGCCCTCCTGGCTTCTGGGAAGATTTTCTGGGACAAGAAAAAAAGGATTGAGCCCAGGGCTGTCCTTTGGAAGCTTGCTACATGTGGCAGTTTTTCCCCTTGTGGATCCCAGGGAGTGCTGATGTACTCACTCTGTCCTCTTTGCTGCCCAATGCTCCAGGTCTTGATCCCACTCACACTTCACTGCTGAATGTATCGTCCTGAGCCAACCCGGTCTGAAGGCCAACCCCCCCTAGACCTAGGGAACCCCTCCCAGTCACCGACAGTCTCCTCAGCACTCCATCTTCCACCCGGCTTCTCTGTCAGCCTTACACCTCCCATATTTAAGGGCCAGTCCACCACTCTACTAGGGCCTTCAAACCCTGGAATTGGCTGGACTTCCATAAACATGCCGATTAGGTATCCACCCCTTCCTGCTTACTGACTTCTGGATGGTTCTATGGTCCTTCAGAGTCAGGAAGAGGCAATAGAGCCACAAGATGTTAAGTCATCCAGCTGACCTGCAATAACACGACTTCAATCACAGACTTGCACATATAGCATGACTTACACACAAAGATTTTACCTGCAATACACTACACTATTCTATATCTATATATTGCACCGCGCTCCAAACTATATAAGTGCTCTAAATAAATTATGAATAAATATTGTGTATCACCAATAATTCAATAATAATCTATAACCATAATGCTTAAATCCATAATTGCATAATACTTAAATCCATGATTAAAGTGAATAAAAAATTCTAATATTATTTGTAAATCAGTGCATAAAAAACTGCGTGCATACAAAACTAATAAAAAGTGAAAAAATGAAAAAATCTAAAAAATATAAAAAAATATATAAAAGAATAAAAAATAAACTGAAAAAAAATTTTTTAAGTGAATAATAGTTCAGTTCATACGAATTGAGATAGTAATGTAGTTCAATCTAATCTGCGTAGTAAGTCAATGTTCATGACATAAACCTCTCTCTCTCCTTCCTCCTCTCCTTTCTCCTCAACACAGCTTTTCTCAATAAGGACTTTCTCCTCTAGTTGCTTGGCTTATTCCTCCATAACCGATACATACAGAGAAGGGAAAAAGAAGAAACATAGTGTCTTATCCTGGGTAACAAATGTTTAATGAGCTTCTGATCTCCCACTCACATGGTATCAACAAAAGTAGCGCTTTGTGTAAATATATCCAAATCCTCCTGCAAACAGCCCTGCAGGTGTGTGTATGTTCACTCGATATACTCGCCGTTCCTCTGTGGATGCGTGATGACGTCACCGCCCCTCCCCTACGCGTTACGCTACAGGGACTCGTAGCTTCCTCTGGGGGATGTAGTTCAAAACTACATCCCCCAGAGGAAGCTACGAGTCCCTGTAGCGTAACGCGTAGGGGAGGGGCGGTGACGTCATCACGCATCCACAGAGGAACGGCGAGTATATCGAGTGAACATACACACACCTGCAGGGCTGTTTTGCAGGAGGATTTGGATATATTTACACAAAGCGCTACTTTTGTTGATACCATGTGAGTGGGAGATCAGAAGCTCATTAAACATTTGTTACCCAGGATAAGACACTATGTTTTCTTCTTTTTTCCCTTCTCTGTATGTATCGGTTATGGAGGAATAAGCCAAGCAACTAGAGGAGAAAGTCCTTATTGAGAAAAGCTGTGTTGAGGAGAAAGGAGAGGAGGAAGGAGAGAGAGAGGTTCATGACATGAACATTGACTTACTACGCAGATTAGATTGAACTACATTACTATCTCAATTCGTATGAACTGAACTATTATTCACTTAAAAAAAATTTTTTCAGTTTATTTTTTATTCTTTTATATATTTTTTAGATTTTTTAGATTTTTTCATTTTTTCACTTTTTATTAGTTTTGTATGCACGCAGTTTTTTATGCACTGATTTACAAATAATATTAGAATTTTTTATTCACTTTAATCATGGATTTAAGTATTATGCAATTATGGATTTAAGCATTATGGTTATAGATTATTATTGAATTATTGGTGATACACAATATTTATTCATAATTTATTTAGAGCACTTATATAGTTTGGAGCGCGGTACAATATAGATATAGGTAATTAACATCCATACACCTAGAGAGGGTGTAAAAAGTACCTGGCGATCTAAATATTTAATTAAGCACGCTAATTGATTTGTTAGTGGTTCACTTCATTCATTATCTAATATTATTTTTAAACACGGAATTAATTGCTTTATTAGTAAGAAAACTTCTAGTGGCTCACAAGTATTTAATTAATCTACACTATTCTAGTAACACATTAGAGGCTGCTACATAAAACAAAATGTTGGGTTTAATGACACCCTATGTCGAACAATATCAACATCCGTGCTACAGTTTGCAAAGCTTCTGCTGGAATGTCATATGTCCCAATCCCACAAAACCCATTTCCAACAGTGAGTGACTCCCAAATAAATTAATCATCTAATACCCAGACATTACCGTAATACCACATTTAAGCTTTAATTAGTAAATTAGTAAAACAAGGTTAGGCTTAGTTATTTACAAAAGCAGATGGCTGCCCTAATATCACAAATTATATGACCAATATTAATCGACACTCAAATAAATAATCCAGCTCTCACAAAGTCCCATAATATTATTTGTTAAGGTTTAATAAGTGTATTAGATTAGTTTAGACTTTGTTCTTAATTTACAAAGCAAGATGGCTGCCGATACGTATACTTTCCTTCTCGGATGCAAAGCTCGCACAGCAGGCCAGCTAAGAAGCGCATTCTCCAGTAGGGTATGCCTGCACAGGAAGGTTTTTGCACAGTTGGTGTTGGGTGCTTCTGGGAGCAGATGGTGGTTTGAAGTCTGGATGTTGGTCCGTGCGAAGTTTCCTTGCCAGTATCTAGCAATGCAGGATGTAATGGGTGGGTTGTAATCACATATTACTTTCTGATCACTGTTGTGAATGGCATGGCTGGGGCCCTAGGGATCAGACATGCGGGAGCAGAAGGGCATGTGACATATTGCACTGTCATTATTAAATAAATCACTCGGCAACTTATAACCTAAATAAAACTCATATAGTGAATAACCAACTTCTAATCCCAAGAAAAAGTCACACTTTCACCCTTGAAAGCATATACTAATATTCAAAACCTTTTTCTTATCAATAACTTAAATTATTAAAATAAACCATAAAATTAAATATAAATAAAAATAAAAGTCTCAAAAAATAAATACATTTCCAAGTCCAACAACATCTCTCAATACTGTGTGTCCAACTTCAATATTTCCAGCAGTCCGTACCCAGTGATAACTTCGAAAAAATAAAACTAAAATAGTGTATTACCTTCAAATAATAAGTATATACCTTCAAAACAAATACCGTATTTTTCGCTCCATAAGACGCACTTTTTTCCCCCCAAAAAAGGGGGGAAAATGTCAGTGCGTCTTATGGAGCGAATATAAAGCGGCTGGTCCGGTATTTCTGCCGCCACCATGTCAGAATATCGGGCCGGCCGCTCAGCTCTTCTCTCCTGCAGGGCCTTACCTGTTCCTCACTCCAGCGCTGCACAGTCTTCCCGCGCTGGCTTCTGTGACAGCTGGGTACCCACTGCGCATGCGCTGCGCTTTGTGAATGGTCCAGTGTTTTCTGGGACACATGACAGGTCCCAGAAGGCGCCGGGCCATTCACAAAGCGCAGCGCTTCTCGCGCATGCGCAGTGGGCACCCGGCTGTCACAGAAGCCGGCGCGGGAAGAAGAGGGAAAGACAACGCCGCGGAAGTGGGAGCGGGTACCTGTCAAATTCAGGTACCCGCTTCCCCCTCCCTCCCCAAAGGTCAGCAGTCTCTGGTCATCCCCTGCACTGTCTGCAGTCTCTGGTGATCCCCTGCACTGTCTGCAGTCTCTGGTCATCCCCTGCACTGTCTGCAGTCTCTAGTCATCCCCTGCACTGTCTGCAGTCTCTGGTCATCCCCTGCACTGTCTGCAGTCTCTGGTTATTCCCTGCACTGTCTGCAGTCTCTGGTCACCTGTACTGTGTCCCTGGTATTTTCCCTGTACTATGTCCGCAGTCTCTGACTGTCTCCTCTAGTTTGTCTGCAGTCTCTGACCATCCCTGTACTGTGTCCGCAGTCTCTGGTCATCTCCTGTACTGTGTCCGTAGTCTCTGGTCATCTCCTGTACTATGTCCGCAGTCTCTGGTCATCTCCTGTACTATGTCCGCAGTCTCTGGTCATCTCTTGTACTATGTCCGCAGTCTCTGACTGTCTCCTCTAGTTTGTGTGCAGTCTCTGACCATCCCTGTACTGTGTCCGCAGTCTCTGGTCATCTCCTGTACTGTGTCCGCAGTCTCTGGTCATCTCCTGTACTATGTCTGCAGTCTCTGGTCATCTCCTGTACTGTGTCCGCAGTCTCTGGTCATCTCCTGTACTGTGTCCGCAGTCTCTGGTCATCTCCTGTACTGTGTCCGCAGTCTCTGGTCATCTCCTGTACTGTGTCCACAGTCTCTGGTCATCTCCTGTACTGTGTCCGCAGTCTCTGGTCATCTCCTGTACTGTGTCCGCAGTCTCTGGTCATCTCCTGTACTGTGTCCGCAGTCTCTGGTCATCTCCTGTAGTATGTGCGCAGTCTCTGGTCATCTCCTGTACTGTGTCCGCAGTCTCTGGTCATCTCCTGTACTGTGTCCGTAGTCTCTGGTCATCTCCTGTACTGTGTCCGCAGTCTCTGGTCATCTCCTGTACTGTGTCCGTAGTCTCTGGTCATCTCCTGTACTGTTTCCGCAGTCCATTGGTTCAGAATATTTTTTTTTCTTGTTGTTCGCCTCCAAAACCTAGGTGCGTCTTATGGTCAGGTGCGTCTTATGGAGCGAAAAATACGGTAAGTATCTACTATAATCTGTGCAAAAAAATATAATAGATTCAACTGTGAGTAACACGTGAATCATGCAAAATCACTCTGTCTACACTATAAATAAACAAATACATAGTGACAAATTGTGTACATTCAAAAACAAAAGTAAAAATAATAATACAAAATAAAAAATTAAATAAACCAAATAAATATTAAACAAAAATATAATAAAATAAAATAAATTAATTAATTAAATCAATAAAATAAAATATAAATGTGAACACTCCATGACCACCTCTATATGGCAAGAATGCATACAATTACCCTCATTGAGTAATATCAAGCCTTAAGGGATATTCAGATGTTCTAGCAGTCACTTTCAGGCTCTCAATAGCTGTATGTAGAGTAAACCTTTAATGCACCATCATCCTCATAAAAGATAGAAAAGAACCCATGTAGCAAGATATAATAGCTACCAAATCATTTAATGCAGCATCTTACATTAGGGACTTTGAACAATCAGTGATAGATTCCCTTGATCCAGCCACAGCAGCTTCCTAAGATACAAAACACGGTTTTCCAGTCAACATAATGGCTGTGCCGCCACTTCCGGTTTTGTGCAATTACGTCAGACGTCACTTCTACTGACGCGTTTTGTCACTTCCGGACTTCTTCTGAAGGGATTTAATTTTATGGTTTGTTTTAATAATTTAAGTTAAGGATATTGCACTGTCAGTCTCACCTGAGCAGAGATTTTCAAGCTCACAGGACAACAATCTAAGTGCTAGCAGACTCTGGGGCAGGTTAAAGCCTTATACACATAAAGATAGCCACCAGTATGCGTTTTAACATAAGCATGTACCATTCACAGCATCTGTTGTAACAGTTCTGACGTTTAATAAATATCTGGGACACTCACTGCGATGCCCAGCCAGGAATGTAACAGAGTTTAAAATACGGCAGATTTCTTCAAATAGGCAATAAGTTCTGTATTTTTGGGTTAGAGCATTCAGATACTATTTTTTTAACAGTTTTAAGCTTTTTTTAAATGAAAATAAAAGAAAATGGTGCAAGAGAATAATTTCAGAATATATACAGTGCATCCAGAAAGTATTCACAGCACTCAACTTTTGGCACATTTTGTTATTTCATAACTGTTCTGTCTCTCCAGTCTAAGCATTGAAAGCGTGATCTCTGTAACTTACAGTTGTGATGAGATAGCGATAACTCCAATCTTAGTTGATACAGGCAGTGACTCTATCGGATGACACCTTGTAGATCTTGTGAAGTTTATTCCATAAACTGAGAGAATCTTACAACAATGAAGGATAGGTCAAAAGATCATAATGATAGGTCAGACATAATGATAGGTCTGATAGGTCAAAAGATCATAATGTGATCTGCTTCATGACATGAGGCAATGCCTTACTGGGAAAAAGGGTGGGCTATCTATACAGCATTAGCAACAGTAAAATAAACAGGATTAACTAAACCAAAGGAAAGGGAGGAGCAGAGACAAATTACAGAGAACACTTAAAAGGCATATGACAGTCATGTGAAACATGACAACAGCCTTATTCCAAAATGGATTAAATTCATTTTTTTCCTCAACATCCTACAAACAATACCCCATAATGACAATGTGAAAGACGTTTGTTTTGAAATCTTTGCAATTTATTAAAAATGAAAAACGAAAAAAAAACACATGTACATAAGTATTCACAGCCTTTGCTCAATACTTTGTTGAAGCACCTTAATTTCTCCCATTCTTCTTTGCAGTACCTCTCAAGCTCATCAGGTTGGATGGGAAGCGTCGGTGCACAGCCATTTTCAGATCTCTCCAAAGATGTTCAATCGGGTTTAAGTCTGGGCTCTGATTGAGCCACTCCAGGACATTCACAGAGTTGGCCTGTAGCTGTGTAAACAGACAATTAGCAACAGTAAAATAAACAGGATTAAAAGTGCAAAAACGTTCTTAACAAAATTCACCTGGATTTTGGCTTAATGCAGAGTCCATTCTGCTGCTATGCAAGTCCAATCTAATCAATTAAAGTCATTGGTTTCCATGAATGACCCTTAACATTTCTTGATGGTAAGAGTAAGTGGCTGAGCTTTAAAAGCAGCCATTTTTTCTAGTCGCTGAATACAGCCTTTGCAGAATTAACATAACCAACCAAATGATCTGAGGGGTGTTGAAGTGTTTTAGGATGGTAACTGGGCACACTTTAGATGCCATTTTTCGCATTTGTATATCCATCAGACAAGGTTTTGCCATCTGACAGCCAACATATTATTGCACATAATTATGTTACAATCTGATATATGACAATAATCCTATGCATATTTTGCTTAGGAGATCTAATACACTGTATTTTTATTAGCCTTCTGCTCCTCATATTATAAGTGTGTTTAGTGTCTACCTTATTTTTTCATACATTAGTGTAACCATGCTTTATGAATATTACTTCATCATAGCAGGAATTATGGAAATTGCATACTGTTTGACTTTGGAAGTTTGATCCCAGGTCAAAACCTAGACTCACAGAGGTGTATTTCATTACTAGAAAGGCTTTACAAGAGGTAAAATACAGCAAGATTGCATTAACCACCTCCCTTCCAGCCGTTGTATATAAAGGGCCGGATGGTGGCAGTGCAGGGTCAGGTGGCTGTTTATAAATGGCCTCCCTGCCCCCTGCTTGTGTGCGCTCCGTGGGAGTGCGCAGCACCGCGATCCGGTACCCTCTGTGTCCTCCAGACACAGTGGAACACCGATCGTCGTACGGGACCTCTGTGCGAGGTCCCGATCATGTGATCACTGATTGGCCAATCAGTGATCACATGAATAGTAGTAAGCAAGATGTCACCTTTGACATCATTGCTTACTACGTGTGAAATCTGTGAATGATCACAGAGGTCACATGGTACTATCTACAACAGCCTTTGTACCATGTGACAAGCTGTGACCAATCACAGCTCACACAGTAGTCCTCAATGGCTGCAAGAATGCAGCTAGAGAGAAGGAGAAATGATTGCTTTCACAGCCTTTATGGGTGTAAAAGCAATCATTGTAAAAAAAAAAAAATCTTCATCACCCCCCACAAGTAGTACAGAGTCACCATGGTGACACTGTACTGCTAGGGGGACAGTATGTAAAAAAAAAAAACATAAATAATAATATAAAAAAATAAAATAAAAATGTAAAAAAAAATGTTTAAAAATTATAATTTTGGTTATAAACTAATTTGTTGTTTTTTTACTAAAAAGATAACGGAATTCATTTTGGCCAAGATTTATGATGAAATATTATTTATTTGCAAAATTTTATAAGAAAATTTTTGGACTTTTTCATTTACATAGCAAAAAAAATAAAAACACCAGTGGTGAATAAATACCACCAAAATAAAGCTTTATCTGTCTCAAAAAAATGCTAAAAAATCATATGGGTACAGTGTTGCATGACCGCGCAATTGTCATTCAAAGCGTGATAGCACTGAAAGCTGAAAATTGGCCTGGACAGGAAGGGGGTAAAAGTGTCCAGACTTGAAGTGTTAAGAGGCTTTCCACCTTTTTGGGGGGCTGATTTCTGACAATTATGCTGTGGTTTGTTTGTCAACAGTTTTAAATCCCATGAATGTCTAGCATGGATGTGGGATTTAAATTTGACAATTTTCGTCTCCAACTTGTACATTTAAGGAAATGACAGTTTGAAGCTCACACATTACACTCAACTATCTCCCCATCCCTATGTGAGAGCACTGGGTTCATACCAATGCTGTCAACACGCAGGAAATGAAGCACATGCTTCTCCCTACCTCCAGCTGGATAGTTCAATTTATTTCTGGCAATCAAGTGAAGTAGGGCAAATGAAAATGTAAGGTAAATATAGGCAGCTGGTGGGGCTGCCATTTAAATGAACCTATTTATTTGATTTGTATGGGAAAAGCACAGGTTCTCTATAATCTCAGAATTCCATGCCCCTTGAAAATGTTTCCCAGTGAAAAGAAAATAGGCATTATTACCCAGTAAAAAGCTTTGCAAAATAGGTTCCTAAATCACAAGGGAACAAATCCATACCTTAAAACCATCTATAGGCATACACAAACCCTCCCTTTCAACAATTTGCAATCTTTTATCAATAAAAACCAGCGCAAACCCACATAATCAATTGCATTACTCAACTTATTAAACAAACTTAAAGACTGTGACAAAAAAACCACTTTTGTGTTAGTAAAAAATTAAATTATAAAAATATATAAAAATAAATATATAAATATAAAAAATTAAAATTCACAAGTCCAGTGACAAAAAAATCCCAAAAACTTTAGTAGACAGTCCCGTGACAAAATAAATCATATAATAATTAAATTATAATTTTCATTGGATTCTTCCGTGCCTTTGATCCCTTCACCATCCACCAGTGCAAAAAACCAACATTAACCGCACTCACCAGATATTAGTGAGTCACACCGCCTTTCAGGAATATTAAGGGCTCCAGGACCCC